CATTCATCTGGGGAAGTGTAGACTCCTAGGTTAAAACAGAAAGAAGGAATCTTAGCTTTGTGTGCAATGCCTTGAACACCTGGTGTGTCAGTTTATGATGTGAGTCTCTGTACTAAAATTGGAAAGGAAGGAAAGTTTTGTTCCTCCTTCTCCATTAGCCACTTTGTTGTTCAAGCAGCAAGCAGAGTCCACAAGGAGACTACTAAAGAGTATCCTTGGTCCAGTGAGATCTGTAACCTGCCAGGCTCTTCCATATGCTGCTGTTTTCTAGTACGTTATTGTCTCCAGACCTATTTATCTCTGTTAGGACTGTTGCCATAAATAGTATGATAAAAAGAGCCACTCCAGCAAGTCAATGAGATAAAGGTTCCAGTCAAGAGCTCACTTTAGAGCAATCTCACAGATTCACTTAAAACACAATAATRCTTTTCTTTGGCAGCATTCATATTTTGGTCCATTATATTCTACTAAAGGAGGAGTGTGCTGGGAGAAAATGGCTGTATCAATTGCCGGGTATCATTGTAGCTGTTTTAAAAGGGAAAATGGTTAGCCCCCCTCTTCTCCCCTACCATTACCCCCCCCCCCCCCACTTTCACCCACATACACACATTTCTGAGTACAGTTTCTTAGTCAGAAGCAAWTTGTTTTTGCAGTGATGAAAATTCCTGGATTTGTAAGCCATTTTTGTCACCTCATTTAGAGGAAGTTTGTCATGGGAAGATTTAAGCTCTTTGTTGAGCAATCAGGATGTCTGCTAATGTAGACATTTTACCTAGAATTGAAATAAATTGTAATACAAGGAAGAGAAAACAGGTAAACTGTTTTTTTCATGATGCATTCTTTTTATTTATTCAGGCCACAGTGGTAGGACAAAAACAAAATACCAATGTATCTTTTATAATAATGAATACTTCCAAAATAAATCTGAAGAAGTATATGTACAAGGGAGGTTTGCTAGTTTGGGATTGTCACCTAAGGCCCAGGGACAGTACCTGGTGTTGTCATTAAATATTATGTATCAACCATAAATGTTTGCAATATGTTACTCAGATATGAATACAGAGCCTGGAGATATTATGTGGAAGCTGGGAGCTGCCAACTCTAATACAAGGCCATTACACAATGATGTGAACACCAAACAATTTCAGTGACACATTCTAACACAGTGGGCTCAGTGGACAGCTATTCTTCTTAACACACCCTGAAAATTATCTCACCAAAATGAAAAGAAAATATCCCATAGCCACTGCTATGTTGGTTGTGTCCTGTGAAGTTTTATATAAGCAGGGGCAAGGCTATTTGTAGAATCTGGATTGTCTCATATCAGCCTCTCTAGTCTTCAAGATCTTTAGGAGAGAACTTTCTCTGGAGAGGAATGGGTAAAAAGGGAAGAGCTAGTGAGGCAGGTCTAATGGGGGAGAAGAATGTCTTTCCTGGTGGCTACTCCAAACTGCCTATCGTGGAAGGTTAGACTGCCTTTTCCATTGTCTTTTTGCTAAGTGGAAAAAAAAACATTTTATTCAGACAACCATTTTATTTGGCAACAAATCTCACTTGTTTCAGCAGAACCTTTAAACTGGGCAGATATTGATTTCTTTTTATTGCTGAGCTTTTAACTTGCATTTTAAGTTTTGTTTGCATTTCTCCTTTACATTTTGATGGTATTCCTTGTATATCATTGTAGGCTGCCTTGCATCCAATTCTTAGAAGAGAGATGGGATATATAAATGGGCTAGCCTACACATACACACACACATGCAGCAATGCTGTTTTAAGCAATTTTTAAAAAACAGCCTGTCTTGAAGAAACAGACTGACAACTTCTAAATATAACATATTGCATGGACCATGGTATCCAGAGGATACATTTCTGAACTTACCCTAGAAATAGAAATCTGAATAACCTCATTGATATTGCTTATGTTTTTAATTTGCTTGCATTGTATTGTTATTGTTTGTTGTTGTTGTTGAGGCCTTGGCCTTTGTAAGCCGCATTGAGTCCTTCGGGAGATGCTAGCGGGGTACAAATAAAGTTTAATAATAATAATAAAAATAATAATATGAACAACTTCTGCTGAAAATTACCTTTGAGTACCTCAAATTTTGCCTAGCAAATTTCTAGGGCGATGTCTTCTCTAGGAATTTAGTAGGTCCTCCAGGCTGACTCTATGATAACTTCTAGTGGAAGCATACCATAGCATTGCCTGGAAGACATGAGGATTTCCTAGAGAAAACATATTTTGTTGGATATGGGTAGGTTAAACCATAAATACCGATCCCCATGATGTGGGGGCCATCCTTCACTTTTAAAATTATAGTGTTTGACCTGGTAAAACTATATGATTGAAACAACTTTGGCAATAATCTTATCCAGCCTTTTTTATCAATTTTAGTAGCTTTGTCCATATTGTTCAGAATACAAAAGTGTACTGCTGCAATTGAGAACAGGCACAAGCAAGGTTTACTCTGTTTGATAGACCTGCAAGGGCTAAAACACGCTCAAATAACTGAAAAGTTATGATAAATTAAATAAAAATCTTCGATTTCAGTGTGATCTAAGAGAGCAATTCTTCTCCACAACCACCCACCTCCATAAAAGAACATTTGATAGTTTAGGAAAATATTCTTAAGTATATCATTTCTTTCCAGTCTAGAAAATACATTTGTTTTTAGGACAATGCTGTTGACCATGAAATCTATATTTTCTTCTGGGGTATTTTTTGCCTAGCATTGTCACGTGCCCAATCATGTAACCTGCAGCTTTCGTGCTGAAGGCAAAACGACCTCCATTCTCTTTATTTGGGAGCATTCCTTCTTCTGCCGAGTATTTCAGAGCTGTCTCTTGGTTGCTCAGTGACCTCTTACCCTCTCATGATGAAGGAAATGGAAAGACGGAGGGGTGATTAGCTTTTTCTGTCCTTTTTTCTTCATTTTGATAGACGCTCAAGAGTTTCAGCCCACTCTAGGGCCCTTCTCAAATGAAATGACTTTGGTGATGAGCCAGGTGTCCAACACATGCCAGCTGCAGTGCTCATAACTCAGCTGGTGACACGTAATGGCTTCTGTTCAAGGAGGAAGGTGGGGGGGGGGGAAGCACCTGGGAAACTCAAACATGATAGCAAACCTTAACTCTTGTGTCTCCAGCATGGAAAAAAAGTATCCAAGTTTTGAGGCCCTTCCCTTTTTTGGGTAAGGATTAGGCACAGATTTTATTTGTAATTCAAGTGTAGGTGTTGTGTTGTTCTTGGTTTCCATGGGTAGTAATTTTTTTAGATGTGAATATCTGCTAATTTAAATTTAGGCTGATGGATAACAGGCAAAGGAAGAAAAAGTGCCACAGCTAGCCACCATTCAGTCTTCATAATTGAGGACCTATATTTAAAAACAAAGTCTATGCAGTCAGGAGCATTTCAATGGACTTCGTATTTGCAATTTCTGTGTCAATCTCTATCTTTTTAATAATAAAATATGAGCATTTTTGTGTGCATTTTTATTTGGAAGTATTAATTTATGTTTAGTGGAGAGTGAAAGCTCTGGAGACTGTAGATGGCATGGGGCTCCAAACTCTATGTGCCCCCATTCCAAAACAGGATTTTTGCCGCTCAAAGATACAAAAACCCACACTGACAGAAAAACATAGTGATTTGGTCAACTTCCTGCCCCAACTCTCTATTTTTCCCAACACTCAAAAAGTAGGTGAGAGGTGTTCCTGAGATCCTACAGATGGGTACAAAGGTGAAAAAAATAACCCAGAGTATTTCTGTGCTAATGGGTACAAGTTCCCTTTCACTAAAAAGCTTGTGCTTCCTTTCCCCTTTTAGAAATCTTCATTTTGTACATTTTGCATGCTGCACAGAACACATTGCAAACCCAGAAATGCTTGAATTTCCAACTATAAATTGGATCCATTTCCATGTTTGCTCCAGAAGCTTGGATCAGATGAATCCAGTTAGGAAAAAAACTGAATGCATTTCTCATACAACCCTGGCAAAAAGTAGCTCTGCTCTGATTTTGTGCATCAACCCAGAGTTAGATTATGAAGCACAGGCTCCCAGGAGTATCTGAAACATTACAAATATAAAGGAAATATAGCTGTAAATGTCACTATGGCATATTTTTTTATCTTTCATTTTCTTCACAGCAGACCTTAATTAAAATTTGAAGGAGTCAGTAGGAGCCAAATAATTTTATTTGCAGACCAGATAGACCAAGAACTCTTGTAATGGCCATCCTTGTTCTTCATTCTCCATTAAAATCTGCTCTGGCCTGATTTTCACTCTATGATGCAACATTCTTGAGCCAGTATCTAATCGGGTTGTTTCCCTGACAGAACTGTTTCTGTCAGCAAACCAGGAGATTGTCAATCCCTCCCTTCCCCTACAGCTGTTTCCACACCCACAAAAGTTGTTTTGGAGTACTGAAAAGCCCCCAAGAGCAAGTTTTTGGTCAGTGTAGAGAAACTGGAGAGGGAAATAAATGACTGGAAACAAAATTTAGATATTGAGCTCTCCAAAGGGGAGACATCTCTTTCTTGACTGATAACACCTTTGATTTTTGTTTGAGACCGACTCAAGAAATGATAAATCTGTCTAAAATTATTAGTAAGTTGCAGAAGTAAATACATATTCCTGAGTATCAATACAACTTAATAGGTAGATTGTACATGAAACAATGTTTCCTCCCATATTAAACCATTGGAAGGCATTGCCAGTAATACATTACTATAATGGATTATATTCTAACTGAATGTATTCTGCTTGTTGCTTCCTACAGACAAGCATTTAAATTAGAAATGTCGGCAAATGACCAGTGTGCAATAAGATACCCTTAATTCCCTTATGGGCAATTCTGTTAAAGAATGAAGTGTTACACAGCTGTCAACTTTGTGCAGTCCAGTATCATCTGGTTTTGGCTACCGTTAGAGGTCAAATACTGGGCCACATGAACAGCTTTGGAAGTGCTACTTGTCCAGTTTATACTACTCTTTGTTCTTGGTATTAGATGCTCCCGGAGGGACAAGTGTGAGAGAGCCGATGAACCATTTCGATTTGCAGCCAGCATCAGCCAGTGCATGAGTATCATCGTTCAACCCAGCAGCATCCCAGTTTCTGAGCACAGCCTTTCGGTAGGTAACTGTGGTGGTTTGCAAACCACCTCGCATACACTCATTTTCTGAGTGTATGAATATTATGTACTTCTATCTCAGGTAATGTGACAAAAAAATGTTACCTCCATGCTGAACTAAAAGGGAGCAGAGAAAATGTCCCTTTTGCAAAATCCTATCATATGTTTTATTTTCCTTGAAGTGTTTGTGGGAAGAAAACCTTATTTCCTTTTCATCCAAAAGTTATGGATGATGGTTGTTGTAATGTTGCCAACTCTTCATAGCAAAAATAAAAACAAAAAAACAATGCAAAACAAATCCTACATATTTAACTTTTTTTCATGTCAGGAGTGATTTAAGAAATTGCAAGTCGCTTCTGGTATGAGAGAATTGGCCATCCGCAAGGATGTTGCCCAGGGGATGACTGGATGTTTTACTATCCTAAGGGAGGCTTCTCTCATGTCCCTGCATGGGAAGCTGGAGCTGACAGATGGGAGCTCACCCCACTCCCCAAATTCAAACCACTGACTTTTCAAAGCAACAGTTATAGCACTGGCTCAGGATTAAGTACCTATTTCAGTGTGGCAGTATGGATCATTTGTGCTGACCTTTGGTTGGAGCTGCCATACTCCAAGACAGTTATATCCAACTCAATTGTAATTATTATTATTTTGCATGGCACTGTGGGCATAGCATTTGGTGCATTCACATTGGTTGATAACCAACCAATCTATGCTGAAGTCTGCATGTGGTATTGACATCCACTCCATTTCCTCAGCACTCATCATGGTGGAAGTAATCAAAAATTGATTTGTGTATGGTGATCGTGGGGCCACAGTGGCACAACGGGTTAAACTGTTGAACTATTGAATCTGCTGACCTAATGGTTGGCAGTTCAAAGCCACAGATCGGGGTGAGTTCCCAATGTTAGCCCTACCTCTTTCCAACCTAGCAGTTTGAAAACATGCAAATGTGAATAGATCAATAGATACCACCCCAGGCAGGCAGGTAATAAAGGCACCCATGCAGCTATGCCAGCAACATGACCAGGAAGTGTCTACAGACAACAGGCTCCTCAGCTTGGAAATAGAAAAAGAACACCTCCCGTGGCCGGAGTTAAGCACCGCCTCCAGAAACCGGAGATGAAAGGGGAAGCCTTTAGCTTTGTTCTGTGTGTTTGTGTGCCATTGTTATTCTCACTGTATTAAAAGCATTGAATGTTTGCCTATCTGTGTAGGTTGTAATCCACTCTGAGTTGCCTCAGGGAGATAGAATGGAATATAAATAAAGTGATGTTATTATTATCTGAGTGGTTTGTGAAAATAGGCCAAAAGGAGTTTTTCTTGTTGTGGCTTGAAATCTGAGTTTATAGTTTTAACAGAAAATATAAATCCATTATATTTTTCAAGCAGCAGAGGCAAGAAACCTCCCCAGATTGAAAGCTTAGATGCCTGTTGTCTTATTAAAAGGTTTGTACTGTCAGGCTGTGAGAGAATTGTCAACTCTGCTTCCGCCTACTGGTATTATTACTCTTCAGGTCAGTGGAGTAACTGCAGCTGCTATATACAATCAAAGGAACTTTTGCTGCTTCTGCTGCTCCTTTGAAGGAAAAAAGAGAATATTTCACATGTCTATTTCATATTCCACATACAATGTCAGGTGGTGATCTTTCCTTTCCTTTCCACTCTTTTTTCCCCCTACTAGCTCAGCTTGTTGGTGAATGACGCACCTGACCTATCAACTGGTATCACTTGTGTATTTGGAAATCTTACTGAAGTGGAAGGCCGAGTTTTGGGCAACCAGATAGTGTGTATTTCACCAGCATCTAAGGATGTTCCTGCCATACCTGTTGACCAGGGTAAGCCYATTCATCATTTAAAATATAGCATACATACTAGCAGGAAATTTYATATATCTGTTTAACACCATTTTCATATAAATGTACTTCTTTCCAGCTCTGCTAGCAGTGAAGATGAAAAAAATCATATCTGAAGATTTCTTGGGGGGGGGGGGATGGAAAGCCTTGCCTTTATCCCTTTCTTGGGATCATCAGATTGATTGTTTTTTCTATGCTTGAGAAGGGAGCAGAAAGAAAGCAAGGAAAGAGGACTTTTTTAGATGTGTGGGACCTCATATATATGCATAGCTCCTTCTCAAGACAACATGTCATCCACAAGACTGAAAAGGCTATGGGTATCTGTTTTGATTTAGCAGTAAAGGAAAAATTCACATATTCTGACTTTAATCAAGCCAAATTTGATTTTAATTTACTTACATCATCAGTCTTTCTGCTAACTCTGCTTTCTTTGAGATCAGCAACAGACTGTCATGGAAAAATTAAATCCTGTTCCACACATTTTTTCTGGATATTGATATTTAATATCATTCTTATTTGCTTATACATATTATAGAATGGGATGCCACCTTGCACTTTACATCTCACTTCTGGTATAATTATCTAGGATGAGTTATTACCTTGATGATGGATGCCATGACAAGTGCTCTGTTTCTTGTGCTGTTGTTCCTGTCCTGGAGTAAGTGCTATGTAGTTACTGGTCAGCCCTGTCAATCTGTTTCATCACTTTGCAGGGGAGAGGGGATACTGTAATTTGTAAATAGACATTTTGGTGACATGTAGCTTGACTGTAGAACACTTTAGTCCCAAAGTGTAGAAGACAAAGGAACTATGGCTTTCCATGTCACTTAAATAAGATTCTAATAACTCCTATCAGCCCTAGCCAGAATAGCCAATGGCTAGGGATAATAGAAACAGCAATTCAATCCTTGAAGGACCACAAATTGCCCATCCTTGTGGTAGCAAGTGTAATCATTTTCTACCAAACGTAATGCATTTCTGCACATTTAAAAGTTGGCTTTCAAGCCATCTGCTTTCTGAGCTTATGTTCCATTAGGATTCTCAATCTTTTTTTATTATTAAAGGTGGGCCAGGAAAGAGGCAGTGTGGGTGTTACTCTTACTGAGAAGTCTGACTTAGTCACCATGAGTGGGTGGGGAAGTTTTCTATTTTTTGTGCTGATGCTTCATTAATATCACTGCTGTCAAATCCTTACACATGCCATTACCAACAGTGCATTGTTTTAAACTTGTTTTCTTATTGGCCGATTTCCAAGTATGCATACTGTTTTATATGCATAAATTACTTAACAAATATTTCACATAGGTCCAGGCTTGAAAGATCTGAACAGGGCTTGGAAGAGAATGTGTATAAATTCCTGCTGCAGATCAATATGTGTTTTCATTGTCCTTTTCCAATTTTTCCACACATTTCCCCCTTTAGTACTGACTTTAGAGTCTTCAGAGATAATAAAGATCACTATTATTGTGCGAAAGCTATTATATGTACTTTCCATCTGCCCCTTATGCTTACAAAATATGCTTATATATTTTGAATAATCAAATAAATTAGCACTTACTAGTCTTAGATATAAATATACATTATATCTCAGTAATAGAGTGTCAGTGACATCATTTTTTCTTCACATCACTAAGGGCACATAAGGCATTCTGGACCATGTAAGATGAATTCAAACTTGACTTGCCAGTGTTGTCATCAGTTCTAAAAAGAAGAAAGACATGTAGCATCTCTGGTGTGACTGTGAAAAAAAGCAATGTTGTTGTAGATGCCACCATGCTGGTGTGATATGAGTACAGGTAGTCCCCAAGTTATAAACAAAATAGGTTCTGTAGGTTTGTTCTTAAGTTGAATGTGTTCATAAGTTGGAACAGGTACATTTTAAAATAAATCCAGCCAGGGAAAGGGGATGCTTTGGACAGCATACGGAAAGGTTAATGCCTTTTTGATGTTTGTTTTGCTATCTGTGCCCCAGTTCAGAGGATTCACATAAATTTCTGTCCCTGTGACAATTTGATTTTGAAAAATTTGGCTTGTTGTGGAAACAAGGATTGGTGATAAAAGCTTTAGTGGAGACACCTTTTTCCCACTTTTTCGGGAGTGAATTTCCCTTCTGAGGAGTAGATTTCTCTCACTTTTGTTCTTAATCATGAGTTCTTTGTAAGTAGGATGTTTGTAACTCAGAGACTACCTGTATACATATATCAGAGTCTGTGGCAAGAAATGAAGTGAGAATTGATCTTTTGGTATTATATAGTCCAGTTGCTTTAGGATTCCACCATTTTAAAGAGTGTCATTCATGAACATGTGTATGGAAGGACATAGTTTAACATAGCCATGTTAAAATATAGGGGCTTGTGACACAGTGAACAATTTGAAACAGTAAGTATTTCTTCACCATGCACTATCCTAGCTGTGCAAAAAAGCAGGATAGAGAGCACAATATTTGAATTGCCTTTGTCATATCTCAGCATAAGTAAAAACTTGGCAATATCTGTATTTCAGTTGTAGAATACAGTGTTCCGTCATTACTTTACTGTTCATTTACCTTGGACTTGCTACTTCGTGGTGTGTGTGTGTGTGTGTATGTAGCGAGGGAACACTCTAGCAAGGAGGGAAGAAGAGCCTCCCCCTCCCCCTCTTTACCTTCCTCTTCCTACTTCTCCTCCTCATTGCCGCTGCCTCCTCAATCGCGGGGCCCAAGCAGCAGCAAGAGGACCAGGCAGCTATGAGAAGGAAGAAGAGGAAGGTAAGGCTCTTCTTCCCTCCTCACCCTCTTTACCTTCCTCTTCCTGCTCCTCGTCCCCACTGAGGCCTCTTACTGCTGCTTGGGCTTCACAAAACCTCCACCACCTCCTCAATCACAGGGCCCAGGCAACGGCAAGAGACCCAGGTGGCGATGAGGAGAAGGAAGAGGAAGGTAAGGAGGGAAGGGGAGGGGGCATCCCTATTTTGCGGTTTTTCACTTATTGCGGATAGTCCTGGAACGTAACCCCTGTGATAAGTGAGGGAACACTGTAGCAGGCTTTCCTGCAAGGGAGAAGGACAGCATTGAAGATGATGAGGCTTTACAAGGAATATGGCAGATTCAACTGTTATGGCATTTCGTGTTGTTTTAATCATCTTTCTATTTCTCTTTTTTTATTCTAGACTGGTTTGGTATAGAATTGCTGCTAAAATCCAGAGAGACAGGCAAAATGTTTGTCAGCACAGAATTCAAGTTCTACAACTGCAGTGCCCACCAACTGTAAGAAATCCTTCCTGTTCTTCCTACCTGAAAGTTTTAATAATGTGTATTCAGGACAACATATTTCAATAACATTTTGTATCAATTAGTATCAGCTCTCCATATCTGTGGAATCTTGCTTCCATCCCCTCTCCCCGGTACCAAAATCTATGTATGTCAGCTCCCATAGCTAGGATATAAATCAAATGGCCGAAAAGCCAGACACAAGCCAGATTGTGCATCAGCAAGTTGCAAACAACTCCTTGCCAATTGCTATGGCAGCCATTAGCACTGCAAAGAAGTGCTAAGACCACACCACAACATTTATGACTCTCTTTCAGTGATGCAACTCCAGGATTGAAAATCAAGCAGAAATAATGGTCAGATTTTTTGCTGGTTCGAATCCATAGATGTGGAACCCATTGATATGTCGTAGCCTGAAAAATAAGACAATATGGGTAACCGGTCAAAGCTAGAGAACTAGGTCCAATATTCATAAATAAGCTGTACTAAGCAGAAAGTCTTTTCCCCATGTTTGTTAAAATAACTGATTTTTTAAAAAATCAACTACATATTGTAGTTTATTTTATTACTAAATATAGTATTAAGATGATTAAATGCCACAGTTGAGGCCAGTATAACATGTTACTATGATCTTACATTAATTGATGTAAAATGCCTCAGATGTGTTTTGAGTAGTGGACAATAAATGGATGAAAGAAATAAGTAAAACCAATACATCATGACACCATTGCTTAAATAAGACAATGTGATCTACTAATTCCTAGTATACTGCCAGTTCAAACCATAGGTAGACACAGTTTATGTTTGCAAGTGTAGGGAAATATGACTCTTCAGATGCTATTGGGTGGCCTCCTGGAATTGGTGGACTACAGAGACCATCATTCCTGGCCATCATAGCAATGGTGTTGAATAGCTGAAGAATTACAGCATATGGGAGGCTACACATTTGCCATTTCTGCTTTAAAACCAAATTTTGCATATAAATAGCCACGGCTTAATGTTCAACCAACTCCCCCCCCCCACTCCCCGCACACACATACAAAGGCAAGCAGTTCCCCAAACGTACTGTGTCAATGATAAGGGGGAGATTACATTAGTTTTCATCTTTCAAATGTCCACAAATATACCATAATGTTAGCATACCTATTTTTTGACAGACAAGAATTAGCAAAATTGCAAAAAAGTAGGAATTCCATGAAACAACTGTGACTCCTAAACAAAGGCACTTATAAGAAGGCAGTTCCCAAGATAGGATAAACAGTACATTTGGGATATTTCATGTTAATAGTGACAGACTCCTTGTTGACTGACATATCTCCCTTTCTCTAACATCACACTGTAAGTAAGGATGCCCCTATGAGCTGGAGGGAGAAAGAGAGGGAGAAGTGAGTCAAATAAATGAGTAATTAATATGTTCATACTGCTTAATATTCCTACCCCACTTAGATTTGCATTTGTATGATTAGACTAAGCTTCCTTAGACATTAAGGTCATTATAGAAGAATCAAAAGGAAATTACAATTGAGGATTTAAGATTGGAGAAGATAGTTAATGTGTGTTTTAGCACACCAAAAGATAGGGTGGGAGGGAGATGTGCAAACCATCTAGCTTGGCATTGAAGTAGCTTCTTCTTATATTGTGGTGAAAATCTTATTTAATTTTTATTGAGTTACAAGTTGTTGTTTTTTAGATTAGGAACTTACTTTCCCCAGTGATGCCAGAGGCTTTAGTAGACCACAGTGACCAGTATTGGCTTCTGAAATCCTGAACTGTTTACCAAATTACCTTAGCCCGTTGTGGGAAAACAAAAACAGATAAGTTTAAGCCCTGAAATGAGGAAAGAAGCACAAAGAATTGCATTCTTATGCCATACTGATGTTGTTGACCTCTGATAACACCCCCTCACCTTCCCCCACATTCTCTGTTATTAGAAAGAGCAGGAAAAGTCTTTTCTCTGTAGGAAAAAATAAAAATGCTTATGAATCAAATGTGATTTAGAGGTTGTCCCTTTGGGAGTAGCTACTCTCCAAATATCCCAAGGCAAAAATAATTGACTAAAGGAAACATCATCTCAAAAGGAAGAAAAATTGCATGAGCTACAAAGGCAAGCCACAGCTCTAGGACAAATCTGAAGCTTACGTAGCTGCCTTTACTTGAGCTCCAGCTGACCCACTAGATGGCATTAAACTCTTGCTGCTGCTATTGCATGCCCTTTACCTGGAGTCTTGAAATTTGGCATGTCTAGGGAGCTGGCCAGCACTGTACCTATCCATATAGAGCTATGTGAAACCCTAACCTTCAAGAGAAGAGGGGAGATTATACCAAATGTCAGTCACCAGCAGATAGTTTATGGCGGTTCTGGGACAGATTTCTTTTCCCTGAGAACACTTAGCACTATATTGAATTTTTAGGTAAAAATGTGAGGGGGAATCCACTTTATAGGCTTGCTACTACAATCATAAAGGAAAATTCACAATCTAAAAACAACTAAAGTAACCATCCATAATAATCTGTTTAGTTATACAGTCTTAAACTCCAAAGGAGATAGCCTTCAGAATTCAAAAGATCTTCATCACATAATACTTTAGCTTCTGTTTGTACATGCAGTTGTACCAACTGATTTTGTGATGATCACAACAAGATGCATCATTAAGATCACATATATCTCTATCTCAATGTGCCCATGCTCTTCTGTAGATTAAAATTGCTGGGGAAAGTGATGACGTGAACTCTCCTTAAGTGTTTCTAATAAGCAGATAAATATCAAAGGAGTAAAGAGTGCACCTATATGAATTCTGTATGTCAGAAAATTGATTCCCTCCTCCTGTTATTGTATGTTCCCAATGCCTGCTCATCTGGCGGATACGCTAGAGCAAAGTCTTGAGTAAAACCCAGAGTTCATGCCTTTTTTCAATTCAGGACTCAAGGCAGGTTAACAACCATTAAAGCAAGCAATGTTAAAAAWTCATTAAATTTTTAAACATTAAAACGAATTACATTCTAAAAATCAAAACCATTTAAAACACACAAAACATTAAAAACAATTAATAAATATCCAACACATTATACAAGGTYTGATCCCCTTAAAAATCAGTTCTCAAAGACCTTCCAAAATTGAAACTCTCCATCTGGTGCAGAAAAAATTAAAAGAGTCTGTCAGACCAACCCTTTGGGAAGGGAGTTCCAGCCATTAGAAAGATTCTCATCTGGGCCCCTTCCACACKGCTYTATAAAARCCCACATTATCTGCTTTGAACTGGGTTATATGGCAGTGTGGACTCYGATAACCAGTTCAAAGCTGATATTGTGGATTATCTGCTTTGATATTCTGGATTATATGGCTGTGTAGAAGGACCCTAGGTCTCCCTGCTGTAAGAGTGATGAGGGCAGAGAGAATATCTCAAAACAGAGGAAGGTTCATATGGGACAATCCAGACCTTCAAATAACCTGGACCTGAGCTGTACCACATCATGCAAACAGGAATCCCTAGATGCTGCTGCTGCATACTGTCCATTAGGCCACAGTCAAATGTCTTAGTCCTTGGGTGCCACAACACTCCTTGGGTTTTCTGCAAGGGGCTAAAATAAATATTCTCCCAAGAAGCCAAAGTGCCATACATATGCTAATGTATTAACGTGATATATTTCAATCCATTAACCTTGCATATATGTAGTGTAATGTATTGGCTGAGAGCCTGACCTGTGAACAAGGGAGTCCTTGACACAAATTTCACACTTAGCATGATCTTATTAGGTTACTGAGGCAAGACTTTATTCTATTAGTTACAGTCCTGCATCTGCAATATGAAGATCCAATAGTGATCAACTTTACAGGATTGTTGTAAGCTTATTCTGAAACATAGGTAAGCATCTTTCCATCAGGACAGGCCTATCCATCTCCCTGCAGATGCACCTGTGTGTAGAATTATTAATATTTCTTATTTCAGTCTATGTTTTCTTCAAATTTCATAGTATAAACCAGTTTTCTATCTGCATGCTTCCAATAAGGAAGGAAGTCATTATGCAGTAAAGTCTGACATTAACAGTGAAAAAGCATAATGTTCAGTAATCATGAAAATAAGAATATTCCAGATACCCACTCAATAAAGAATATTTAAATGTTTGTTCTTTTTAACAATGTGTAAATCTTGTAATTAGCTTTTTACTTTATACCTCTGTTGACATTCACTTATCTGCAATGATCCATATTGGCTAGGCAGTACTAATATGGCATAATCAATAGTCAGCATATTTGCTCATACTTAAGGCTGGGAAGCATCCCTTTTTTACCACCTAACATAGTGTTTCATTTCTTTCTTGGCAGGTGCCTGTCTTGTGTGAACAGTGCTTTTCGTTGCCACTGGTGTAAATATCGGAACCTCTGCACTCATGACCCCACAACGTGTTCCTTTCAGGAGGGACGTATCAATGTTTCTGAGGTATGTAGAACACTTTATGTAGTTGTTTAATGGCATCTTCTGTTGCGTACCTGAGTTAAGGCAGTCTCAAGGTAACCTATCATGGAGTTTTATTGGCAAGATTTGTTTTAAAGGAATTTGTCATCACCTTCTTTTGAGACTAGGCTTGAGGTCAACCAGCGGTGACCCTGGGAAATTCACATTCTCACAGTCTCAGATTAAGCCAATGGAAGAGGATTTCCATGGCTGAGGGGTGATCCAAGAGTCATAGCAAAATATCCAAATACCTATATCGTGCCGGGTCTTAACAGCATCTTTTACTTTAGTGCATTCAACAGGTGTTCATTTGAGGATGCTATCAGAGTAAATGGAGGATATGGAACTATGACAGTGAACTGCACAATTCAAAACAGAGAAGAAAATATATTTGTAAGCAGAAAATCTGTGAAAAAATCTTTGTTGGAGGGATGGTAGATAGTTGTTATTTGATTGATGCAAAAGAAAATGACTCCCATCATCTTCTATTCTAGCAAAAACTGGGTTCTACATCTACAGCCTGTTACACACCATCTGTTTCATCAAACATAAATCCCAGAGAAATAAATGGGATATCTTCATGCATAGCTGCTAGGATTCAGCTGTTTTATATGGATTGTCATAACCATGGCAGTGCACACAGTTTATAGAGCTTTCTCTTTCATACAATATCACCAAATGTCTTTTAAAGGCCCAATTACTGACAGCCTCAAGCTGAAGAATATCTGCTTATATATATATATATATATATATATATATATATATATATAAGGTAAAGGTAGTCCCCTGACATTAAGTCCAGTCATGTCTGACTCTGGGGTGTGGTGCTCATCTCCATTTCTAAGCCGAAGAGCCAGCGTTGTCCATAGACACCTCCAAGGTCATGTGGCCGGCATGACTGCATGGAGCGCCGTATATATATATATATATATATATACACAGGAGCAAATGGGAGAGTCAAAACAAATTACATACGGCAGCTAGCTGTCCAATCTTTCTGCCTCAGGTGTTTTGTTCTCCAACTCAGTAAGGCATATCCTTTTCTCAGAACAGTTCCCTTTGTCTATTACTTGCTAGCAATAAACTGCAGACAAAGGTTTGTGGAACCACCCTTCAAAGAGGACTAGATCCATGCCCAGGTGGAAACCCTGAGCTCAGCCAGTTAATGCAGACAAGTGTCTATTGATGGAAATTTCTACACAGAGTGTCCTACCTCAAGACCAAACTGGACATAATCTAAGCTATATAATTTTCTCATTGGTACAAAGCTTTGTTTTCACACATTAATGATGCCCTTGCAATCTGCATTATGATTCTAGCATGGCACAAACACACACGTGTATGTCCCTTCAAGTCACCTGTTGACTTACAACAACCTCATTAATTTCATAGGGTTTTCTTAGGCCAATTCCTTGTTCTGAAATATAGCCTAAACCACACAGAATATATAGATGTTCTCCCATCTAAGTACTAATGGGGGCTGACACTGGCTTCCAAGATAGGGGACTTGAATGTTTTGCTTCCTGGTGTGGATATAGGGCCATGTTTGAAAAAAATGTTTTGAATGTTAGACATTATGGCCAGAGTTTGTTTGGGGACTCTTCTGAAGAAGTCCTGAAAAGCTAACCTTTGAAACTGAAAACAAGGACAGCAGGTGAGATAAAACACTGTCCATGAGATCCAGATAAGGCTTTCATTTTCCTACATGACAATAAGCCCATTAAGTCATCAACATTGTGAAATGATAGGAACTATCTGCATTTGAGTGAAAACATAATTGATATTTCATGTTGCAAGTAAGGATAAACGGCTGTTATCCAGTCTCATAAAATGGAGCCTAACCCAATAAGGAGGGAGGTTAAAAAGAATAAAACGTTTGGTAATAATTTCTTCATATCAAGGGATTGTCCTGTTTAATAAATCCACAAGAAACATTTGGCCAAAATACGTAACATGTCATCTTGGTGAATAATGAAATGAATGAGTGACACGGCAGGGAATACAACTCCAGAGGGTATCCTGGCTCTGTGTCTCCTCTAACTATGATTTTAAAAAAAAACTCTTCTTGATTCTGGGCAGGCTAGTCAAAATGACACTTGTCCCTGTTCACTGACTCCTGCTTACAAAAAAGATTGCGGGCTTGAGGCATTTTGAGTTTCTTGAAGATGCAGTACTTAATATATTATATTTTAAGTACCAGAGGAAATACTTTTTTGGTACTTGATTTGAGGAGAATGCAGTGCTGGGATAATGTGCCTGTGTCTTGCTGTCACTCTCTAGAACTCTTTTATAGCTAGCGGAGTTACCATTAGGCTCTTGCTCATTAGCTTATGTTGGTCAAATGTACTGTGTCACTTTGAGGACCCACTCTTGTTAAGTGTAACCATGACAGTACAAATGAAACATGATCCATCTCTCTTTACTTCACACACGTATGTTCTTGCCCACATCTAGTTTCACAGACTAATTTGCCTAGTCTTTCTAAAGAAAAGAAAATACTGTGATATTTGCAACAAGGGATGGGAGGGGGAGAAAGATACTTAATACAGTTTATTCTGTTATATGCACTTTGTAGTCAGTAATGCTGGAAGACTATTAATACACAAAATACACTTTATTAACTGAGGATGTATTTCTTTTAAGAACTAAGTAAAAAAATGATAATATTTCAAGCAAACTTTATTGTTGGTTTTGTATGCCTTTAAGTAATTGTTTGCTTAAGCAACCCAAAGACTTATTATAGGGTTTCCTTGGCAAGATTTGTTTAGAGGGGGGATTGATTTTTGCTTCCCTCTTTGGCTGAGAAAGTATAACTTACCTGCCATCACTCAGTGGGTTTCCATAGCCAACTACAGAGTCAAACCCTTGTCTACCAGTGTCTTAGTTCAACATTCAAACCACTACACCATGCTAGCAAACTAGTTTCTGTCAAAGAAAGAAGTACACTAGGTGTCTCACCCAGGGGATACTGGCTGGCATGCAGCTGAGCACAATGATGTAGCATGCAAGCTTTCCTTCCACAATCTTTCTGATAACACAACTTTTCTGAAAGGTTAAAAGCACATGGTCTTTATCAAATGATAACCAATTGTAAGAACCATGACACACTGCTAGCAATTTCTTGTTTATGTTGGAGTGACGGCAAACTGTAGCCTTTAAAGTAAGGTTATGCTTTGCAACATGACTGAAAAAGTGGTACTTTCATGTTTTATCACTTTGTTCCCCATTAATGCTCAGAGGCAGATCAGTGGTCTAGTCACTCAAGTAAATCTGCACAACTTGACTTCTTTTCCTCTTTTCAGTTTAGTAGAGTCTTTCCTTAACATGATTAAATAACACCACACTGATGCTGAGGCAAGCCATCCTCCTAAAGCAGTCAAAATGTGTGTGACATAAATTTGGTCTGAGGGATCCACTGAAAATTGTACGATTCACCTTGTGGCTGTTCTAACAGATAAGAGAGAAGAGTTTTAACAAACGAAATTGGTGTGTTAAAATACTTTTACCTTTCCAACAAAACACCTCTAGGATGTTTATAATGCTGCATAAATTTAAATGCTCAAACCACAAAACAGCAACAAGAGAAACTCTATAGCTCAATCCCCACTAAATTTTAAAACAGCAACAAATAACATTATTCAGTTCCAAAAGATAGGCAGCAAGGTAGCCCTGCCTCTCCTTGAGATGGATTTCACTGTCCTCTTGTGGAGCAATGGACAATCTAAATGACCACCATTCATCATATCAACTGAGTAGACCTCTACCTAGTACCTAGTACCAACATATTACTTAAGAAAGCAAGTAATATGTTGACTTTGTTAGCTTACTCCCTTAATTCTCCCTCTTCATCATCATGGTAATAGGACCTGGGATCACCAGTTGTATCTGAACAGTGGGAGATTCAGGACAGATAAAAGAAATACACCACATTAGACAGTGGAAATCACTACTACAAGATATTATGATGGCCATCAATGTGAGCAAAAAAGATTGGCTATTTTAATGGATGTTTTGTACAGCTACCAATTCTGCTACTTAGAGAAAATGGTGATATAATTCCAGTATCAAAAGTATTATGCCTCTGTATAATGGTGTTGCTGGGTTATGATAGTAATGTTTTGCTCATTTCCTCAGACACTTAGCAGACCACTATAGTAACAGAATGCTAAGCATGGCACCTCTGCAATGTGCACAAAATACACCTTACATAAAACTTAGCGCCCAAGTCATGCTTTCCCTACCCTTTCTCTGAAAGTAAGCACAATGTTCCATTGTTATCCAATAACATCTTCTAAAGGACTGAAAATGGAATCAGTTGTGAAGGAGGGGAGAAAATGGGTATGTGAAGCTTGTAGGTGTGTCAATGCAAAGGGTGTGGTTGGTAAAATTGAGATATTTATATTCTTGTGATTTTACCCCAGTGGGGGAGGTGTCAGGAAATTAATTCAATTATTTCCCAAACCTGGAAGTCCTCTACCTTCATCAGTGCCATCTTTCTACTGATAATTTTGTGTCCACATACGTGGCACTGAACCAGGCAGATGGAGGATTCAGAGACTCTGAAAGGTTAAGCTGGAGGCACATTCTGTTTTATTTCAGTGGGAATGTTTAGATAATACATTTACCTGGAAAATCGCCATATCTGATTATGTTTTTAGCATCGTTTGAAGTTCCCTGTAATTATCATCATTGCTAGCTGCACTCCCAACAAAAACTGAAGCATCTGTCTAACCTTTAAATGCCTAGAACTTTATTCTAGGGCCTAGAGCCCAAAGCTAAGTAAATCATGCCAGCTCATTCATTAGTTTTTTTCTAATATAATTTGACAGTGTGTGAAGTATGGATATGATCTCAATTTTAAATGACAAAACATCTACAAGTAGGCATATGAAGAAATTTCACCATTGTTTAGCTTCTACTTGAATATGTACTAAACCAACCGTGCCATTCTGGAGGCTTATGCTCCAACCCACCTACCATTTTCA